TTTTGAAAGTGAGATTAGAAGAAGATATGCAAATTCCTGTGGAATTTGCATATCCTCTTTCAAAAAAAACCCATAGTTTAGACTTGCCCTAGGTGCACATTAAAAAGAAAGAAATAGATTGCCTTTGTTGGAAGAAAGCTGATTAGATATTGCAGTATTGAATACAAGAGAACATAAGAACAGCTGTACTGGGTCAGACCAAAGGTCCATCTAGCCCAGTAGCCTGTCTGCCGACAGTGGCCAGCACCAGGTGCCCCAGAGAGGGTGGACCGAAGACTATGATCAAGCTTTTTGTCTCCTGCCATCCTTCTCCAGCCTCTGACAAAGAGAGGCCAGGGACACCCTTTCTATCCTCTGGCCAATAGCCTTTTATGAACCTAACCTCCATGAAATTATCTAGCTTCTCTTTAAACTCTGTTATAGTCCTACCCTTCACAGCCTCATCTGGCAAGGAGTTCCACAGGCAGACTACACGCTGTGTGAAGAAGAACTTTCTTTTATTAGTTTTAAACCTGCTACCCATTAATTTCATTTGGTGTCCTCTAGTTCTTCTATTATGGGAACTAATAAATAACTTTTCTTTATCAGCTCTCCACACCACTCATAATTTTATATACCTCTATCATATCTCCCCTCAGTCTCCTCTTTTCTAAACTGAAAAGTCCCAGTCGCTTTAACCTCTCTTCACATGGGACCCATTCCAAACCCCTAATCATTTTAGTTGTCCTTTTCTGAACCCTTTCCAAGGCCAAAATGTCTTTTTTGAGGTGAGGAGACCACATCTTACACAGTATTCAAGATGTGGGCATACCATAGTTTTATACGGGGCAGTAAGATATTCTGTGTCTTATTTTCTATCCCTTTCTTAATAATTCCTAGCATCCTATTTGCCTTTTTGACCGCCGCTGCACACTGTGTGGAAGTTTTCAGAGAACTATCCACGATAACTCCAAGATCTCTTTCCTGATTTGTTATAGCCAAATTAGCCCCCATCATGCTGTACCTATAGTTGGGGTTATTTTTTCCGATGTGCATTACTTTACACTTATCCACATTAAATTTCATTTGCCATTCCACGAGGAGTAACGGTAGTTCGAACTAGGAAGCCTAGTTCAAACTACCTAGTTCGTGCCCCGTGTAGCTGCGCTGCACGGGGTTCGAACCAGCGGGGTTTTAAAAATGGCGGCGCCCTGCTTATGCAAATGAAGCCCGGGAAATTCAAATCCCGGGCTTCATTTGCAAGTGCGGTATGTCTACATTACCCCGCTAGTTCGAACTAGCGGGGTAGTTTAGACATACCCTAATAGATTAGTGAGACATGATTTCTCTTTACAGAAACCATGTTGACATTTGTCCAACAAAAGAGCTCTGGAAAATCATAATTAACAGGTCCACAGAGTTCTGATCTTGAGACTAATTTGAAGGCACTATTTTGAAGAAACAGGTGAGTAGTCAAGAGAGTAGTATCTGCTACAAGGAGTGCCTGGAAAGTAGATCATTGGTTGGCACAGGTGCAGCTCCTATTGGTGTATTGACTATAACAACAGAAGAGGATCAGACTAATGCTGTTGGTGAAGACGTAAGTTAGGTCTGGGGAGAAATAAAATATACTGAAGGGAAGAGCTGTAGAGCTGGATCTATGGGATAGTAAGTATTTGAATTATTGTAGGAAGGTTTGAGCCCTTTGATCTCCGAGCTGTTTAGTGTATTGGTATGAAGGGTTAAGTATAGTAGGTAAACAATCGTAACCCTGAACTTGAAGTGAGATCACTTCAAGATTCCTAATGGCAGATTCAAAAATTATGGACTTTAAACCCCACTTATTCTGTTAATGGGCAGAGTAGATGTCTCTTCAACAGCTTGTCTTTCTGCTTTAAAATTGTGGAAGATGTAAGGCTGGCTGAAACATCACCTTCTGGAGCATCTTCAGGTCTGAGGAAACAAGTTCCAGAGAACTTGTCAAGTGAACAAATCATCAGTATTGAGTATGTTATCAAGTAAGCATATGATGCCTAATGCTTATGGGGAGAAGTCAACCTTAACATCAGCATCAGAGCTTACACCAACACAAACCTAGCCACTGAAATGGTCCACTCCAAATGCTGAGGCAAAAGGTTAAGAAGGAGTTCAGTGCTCTCTCATTAGGACAGCCACCAGACAGAAATAATAGAATTGAAAGGAATCGCCAGAGGTCATCAAGTCCAGTCCCCTGCACTCATGACAGGACAAAGCACAATCTAGCCCAACCCTGACAAATCTTTATCTAACCTGCTCTTAAAGACCTCCAATGACGGAGATTCCACAACCTCCCTAGGCAATTTATTCCAGTGCTTAACAACCTTTGCTGCAATTTTATCATTTTTGCTGCTCTTCTCTGGACCCTCTCCAATTGCTTCACATCTTTCTTGAAATGTGGTGCCCAAAACTGGACACACTCCGATCAGCACAGAGTAGAGTGGAAGAATTACTTCTCTTATCTTGCTCACAATACTCTTGTTAATGCATTCCAGAATCACGTTTGCTTTTTTACAACAGTGTCACATTGTTGACTCATATTTACCCACTGGTCCACTATGATCCCTACATCCCTTTGTGCCGTACTCCTTCCTAGACAGTCACTTCCCATTCTGTTTGTGTGAAACTGATTTTTCCTTCCTAAGTGGAGTACTTTGCATTTGTCCTTATTAAATTTCATCCTATTTACTTCAGACCATTTCTCCAGATTGTCCCGGTCATTTTGAATTATGACCTTACCCTCCAAAGCACTTGGAACCCCTCCTAGCTTGGTATCATCCACAGACTTTATAAGCATACACTCTGTTTCGTTATCTAAACTGTTGATGAAATTATTGAACAGAAGTGGTCCCAAAATTGACCCTTGCAGAATCCCATTTGTTATGCCTTTCATGATTGTGAACCATTAATAATACTCTGAGAACCATATCAAATGCATTACTAAAGTCTAGGTATACCACATCCACTGCTTCCCCCTTAGCCACAAGACTTGTTATCTTATCAAGGTTGGTTTGACATGATTTGTTCTTTACAAATCAATGTGGGCTGTAACATAGAACAAAAAAGGTAATGTTGAGACCACATCCCAAAGTCAAGTCAACCTCAGAGATCGACTTTCACCTTAACCTTGCCAATCTTCTTCCTGAAGCCACACTTGACACATAGAGAGAAGAAACTATCTACCCTTATCCAGAGCTTTGCTGTATTAAAGGACCAAGCCTCTTCAGTGGTCTCCTCACCTCTTTGTAGCTATTTTTGGCTTATCCAAAGGCCACCCCATTCTCCCAAGTGCATTTCAATACATAGTACATTTCAATGTGACATCAACTGGCTGGTGAACCTGTCCTTTGAATAGTAAGGCACATTGTTTCAGAGTACAGGCCGCATCTGTTGTCTGCTTTAGAAACATTCCAGTCTCAGATCTGCAAGGTTGCAATGTGGAGTAATCCACTGACCTTTGTGAAAACATTTTGCCCATGACATGACTTAGCCAAAGGTGGCAAGTTCAAGTGAACAGTATTCAGTCTTTGTGCAACAGATTCAGCTGATACTCCTCATTCCCACAATCCAGGGATGACTCAGTTTGTCAGTCACCTACAGGAATCCATATTGAAATGCATGATTAAGAAGAACAAATGATTACTTCCCCTATGGAAGTAACACATTCACCATCCTTATGTTTTATAATACTCAGCTATTATTATAAATTCTGTGTGGGCTTAGAATTTAAAGAAGTGAGGGAGTGTTGCATCTGCTCCCACTCTTTCTGCCCTTGCTAGGGAGCATACAAGGATGTATGCATAAATATGCTACTCAAAAACTTTCTGGTCTTGCTCATGAGGTGTATAAATATATACAGAAGGAGTCAAATTAACTAGAACATCTTGAACAACCACAGTTACTATAAGGTAAATGGCTGTTCTTCAGAGTGGCCGTGTTAGTCTGTAACTGAAAAAACTTGAAAAACAACAAATAGTTCTCCAGCACCTTAGGGTACGTCTAAACTACATGGCTCCATGTAGATTAGTGTACTCGAAAAAGGGAAATGAAGCGTCGATATAAATAATCGCTGCTTCATTTACATCAAAATGGCTGTCATGCTGTGCCGATCAGCTGATTGGTGGCACAGCACGGTAGTCTGGACGCTCCACGGTTGACAAGAGAAGCCCTTGTCGACTGCCCTGGTAAACCTCATTCCATGAGGCATAACGGGGCAGTCGACAAGGGCTTCCCTTGTCAACCGCAGAGTGTCCAGACTACCGCGCAGTGCCGCCAAACAGCTGATCGGCACAGCACGGCAGCCATTTTGATGTAAATGAAGTGGCGATTATTTAAATCGCCACTTCATTTCCCTATGTCTAGAAACCTGCTCTACATGGCTCCGTCGACAGAGCCATGTAGTCTAGACATATCCTTAGAGACTAACAAAAAATGTAGATGCCATATACATTTTTGTTAGTCTCTAACGTGCCGCAGAACTCTTTGTTGTGTTTTATGCTGAGGATTGTTCTCCATCTGAATAGAAACAATAGTTTTTGTATAAATAGAACTCTTGGTTTTTTCATGGTTTCACACCTTTATGGATAATGTCCAGAAATTAGAGTAGATAGAAATAATTAATAGAGTCCCCATTTAGGAGTTAACTAATTAGACAAGTTCCCCCATCCAGTAGCTTGAGTGTGCATCTTGACCACCACTGCAACTTAGATACGAATTATGACCCTTGTGAGAAGCAGCCTTATCTACTGATTCAAAAGAATTCTCACCTTGGCTAAGATGGTAGGAGGTGTGCTGAACTCAACAGAAAACTGCTATTTGTAGAACTTGAAATGTGTAGACAATTAGTTTAATGGAAAAAGCAAATCATTAATGGTGTAGAGTCAGAAGTCAGAATTTATATGATATAAATTAACAATGGTGGACTTGTGTGGCCTTTCCTGTACTTTGAAAGTTAACCTGAACTGAAACATCATAATGAATCTAAATACATCAAAATACCATTTGTTGCTTTATTGCCAATTTGCAATATTACAAGGATAATTTGATAATATATTAAAAACCCTACTTTCATTTATATACAACACATGCTACGTCAGACATCATCAGTTTTTAATGCACATAATACATTTGTGAAGAAACGATGAGGTAACAAGGGAAGAGAGCACACACACGTGTGTATGTGTATATACATATACATATACACACACACACACACACACACACACACACATATAGTATATTTATACTATAAAATATGCACACTGTGTAAAAAAGAAATCTCACAGGCTTATTGTAAAGCATGCTAAATTGCCAAGAGCTATTTTTGGTTTTTTTCACACATTCTTTCACTAAACGTAATGGTTTTCATTGTAGTTTCTAATTTGCAATAATTATCTATTCTATCTACCAACCACAGCAGAATTCTAAAATTCTCCAAGTTTCCACAATTGATTTTATTTATAAATGAGTATAAGTGAATATACTCATTATAGATTATGAAATATTGCAAATATAATTGTTCTTGGTTACAAATATTTTCTACCAAGAATCCTTATCTTGTGGCTACAGACATTAAATAGAATATAGATCGGGATCCATCATTTGCCTGCAAAGTTGGATAGTCCCTTTAATTTGTAGCAATTTAGTTATTACAGTGTCTGCACATCAGATAATGATGTAGCTCAGGTATAAAATATTAACTATTTAGACTTTTTTTTTATGTGGCAATTAACATTATTTATGTTGGCTATGTAATATGCAATAGCCATTATAAATTTGGATTTCTTCATAAATACATGTGGGCATTTCAATTTAAGAACATTCATTTTCCTTCCTTACACATATTTTTGATTATCAGAGGTCAGCTTTCAGAATGATGGCATGTACATCAAGAGAAGAATGAAAGTAACAGACTAAATTAATTATATTGTAATTATTTGGGTGTCTGCCCACCAACTGAAATGATTTAATTATTGCTTTATCTATGACAATTAAGAAAAATTATTTTAGGAATAATCCCACTAATACTATACGGTACATATACCAGCTACATAGTTTCAAAGGATGTTATTTCCTGTGTCAAATTATGCCTAATAATAACAATAAAACACTTTCTGTACAGATTGTACTGTAATTGATAATATTTTTACATAATATAACATACAAAATATGTAGAAACTGTGGCAGTATTTTTAGCATCTAGACTTAATTTATAGGGAATAAAACTCAGAAGTGTTATCTACAGTCCATCTCAATGCCCGGTTCTAAAAACAGGACCCTTAATTATTTTTGTTACAAAGAAAGATGTTCTGAGTTTATTATATCACCTAAATTGTATGTTTTTTGCTGGCATGAATGTTGAAAATACAATATACAAGTCCTCAGATTTTAGCAATAAAAGTACAGTATCTTACATTCGTTGCTGCTATGAAGATGTATTCCAGATAGCACATGCAGCTACTCCTGCCATTTTATTGTTCTTTTTTAAACGGTAAATTAAAAGTAACAGTTCTTTCAGTGGAACGTGTTGGGATTAGGTCTGATCATCATAACAACTTTCTTTAGTGAATATGAGCCCCCACGGAATTCAGCCCAGTAAACACCATCCTGATATCGACTACGATAATGTCCTCCCCGATACCAGACTCCATTGAGGTTTGAGTGAGCACAGGCATTGTACCACCATCCTCCTTTCTGGTAATGAGCACAGTTACCTATAATGAGAAGAGGCCTGTTATTGAGTATATAAAACTTGCAGTTGGTAAGCTAACAAAATGTATATATAAAACAGTTTTAATATCTATTTTTTTAAATCCATCAATCCAATGCAAGCGGCAAGGCACACAAAATTTTCCTTTTACAGGCCTCAATCCTGGAATCAAAACCATGGAAGTGGACTCTACTGTGGCGGTCCATATTAGTGCAAAATTCACCCACAAGGATCTAATTTCAGGATCCAGGCTTTAATTTTTAAAATAACTTCAGCTATTTACATTTAAAAGCTTGTTTTGCCATTTGTCAATGAAAATTATTAGCTTACCAGATCAATTTGTGTATCCTCATCAGGGTTTGTTTTTTGCTTTTATAAATGTTTTAATTATACGCGTCAATGTAATTTTCTATCCTGTCATTATGCAATTTGCCATTTTCCATAGTTATTTTTTTGTTGGTAAACATTTCATACCTGTGTATACATCATGATCTCTATCCAGTGTGGTGAACTGCTTCCCATTATGCCAAGTGAAAGAATCCCCAGCATTGCCATTGTAACGACCCAATCTCAACTTGTAATATTCACTCTCTGGCTCCAGTCTGAAGCTGGCATATTCAGCAAATACTTTTCGACCTGACCAGTCTTCCATTGTTACAAGCAGTTTGTAGTTGCCTTGATTTGTTAGCCAATAAATATTTTCTAAACCCAGCCAATACTCTCCATCTATGTTCCCAAATCCTTGCTGTGAAAAAAGTGACAAATGGATTAGTGTTGCACATACATCTTGCTTTTAAATGTCAATGCATCCTTAACCAAGATATCTTGATAATGAAAACATGGGAATGTTTCGGAATTCCAGCGCAACTTCATCTTGACCCTTAGAATGTGTCAGCACTTCAAACCACTACACAGTTTTCCAACAGAAAATACAAGAGATCATATAGAGGGCACTCATGGATTAATCTAAATATGGGATGTTTCTAATCCATCAGTTAACAGTTGATTTATAACCTAAAGCATAAATATATACTACTTATAAGAAATAGATGTATCCTATCTCCTGTAACTGGTCTCTTTATTCACGTCTAATTTTTTTCTATCCTACTGATGTCCCCTGAGATAGAAAAAAATTTCATTTGTTCTAACCTTATAAGTATCCCAGTTCCTGAAAAAGTTGACTGATCCATCCAATCGTCTCTGAATGACTGTCCAGCCACCAGGATCGTGTCGTTGGTCACACCAGACCTGCATAAGTCGATTTGTGTTTTCAGGTTTCACAAGGTAGATAGAACTGGTGTCGTGGCCATCTTCTAATGCCTGTAGACAGTCTCTCCATGGCCCTGTTTTAAAGTAGAAATATTATTCATTCAGAAAATAATTATGCTTCTCTTCTTTGTCTTCAGGAAATATTTGAATATGGAACATTTTTCTTTCTTGTATTTCTTCCTTGATTAGGGGTTTGGGCTGGCTGCCATATGAAGAGAGATTAAAAAGACAAGGACTTTATAGCTTAGAAAAGAGGATACTGAAGGAGGATATGACAGAGGTCTATAAAATCATGACTGATGTGTAAATAAGGAAAAGTTATTTACTCTTAGGGTCACCCAATTAAATTAATAGGTAGCAGTTTTAAAACAAATCAAAAGGAAGTATTTCTTCACACAATGTACAGTTAACCTGTGAAGACCAAGACTTTAGCAGGGTTCAGAAAAGCACTAGATAAATTCATGGATCATATTAGCCAAGAAGGGAAAGAACAGTGTATGGGTATCAGAGAAGTGATCACTATTATTACCTATTCTGTTCATTCCCTCTGGGGGCACCTGGCATTGACCACTAGGACACTGGGCTAGATGGACTTTGGTCTTACTGAGTATGGCTGTTCTTGTGTTTTTATGTTAGACATGATTGTACCAAGCATTATGCATAACCATTTTCCTAAAAACATATATTTTCATCTTCACATATAGAGAGGATAATGTTGAGTTGTGAGTTTGCTCAGGCCTGGGCTCATTCAGTTTCACAAGCTTTTTGAGTCCTTTTACTTCATTTATTCCTTAGCAAACTATATTATGTGTGTTATTTATACAATATATTAATTTATTGATCTTGGCTTCCTGCATGTTTTCATGATGCAATATATAAAATATCATAGTGGTATTAGTGTAACCCCGTAATATAAACAAGTCTGCAGATTATGCAGTCTACCTTTCATAACCATGTTTTTTAGTCTTACTCAGCATAAAGAGTGCTTCGAATTGCATCAGACTAAATAGCAGTGGATGTGCAATTGAAAAGGAAGAAAATACTTGCATGCATGTTGGTGACGTGGATTTAATAATATGGGGAAGGGATGCATAGTATACGTTTAAAATAGGCTTTGTTCTACTACGTGGCAAAAAGAATCCACAGTATTGAAGTCAAGCAAGAGAGAGGTTTTCACTGCAAATGCAGATGTGGTTATATTTAAGAGGATAGTTCAGGGGAGACATGGGATTTGTGTGTTCCTTTCTTAAGCAGCGGCGATTTAAATAATCGCCACTTCATTTAAATTTACATGGCTGCCGCGCTGAGCCGACAAACAGCTGATCAGCTGTTTGTCGGCTCAGCGCGGCAGCCATGTAAATTTAAATGAAGTGGCGATTATTTAAATCGCCGCTTCATTTTCCTATGTCTGGTAGCCTAATCTACATGCCTCTGGCGACAAAGGCATGTTGTCTAGACGTACCCTAAGATTTAACAGGTCAGAAGTTTAGGAGTTTGCTACTTAAAGGTGTGTAAGCTAGTAGGCAAACTCATTGACCAGGTAAGGTAGAATACACTTTCCAACAACCATGCAGTCCATGACCCTTTCTTCAAAGTAGAGTTTATTTTCAAACAAAAGCAAGTTAACTTATAATATTTTGTACCATCCAGCCAGCTGGGAAGAGAGAGAATACACCTCATAGCTGAAAAGTGCTTAATTTTTGCTAAGACTGAGCCCCAATACCTGTAGGCAGTTCATAGCCTCGGCATCTCTGGGCTTGCTTCATCAGGTATGAAAGTTAAAAAATTGCTGAGCCCTGGCGTCTCTTTCATTACAAGTTAAGCTCTGGCCTAGAAGGATTACTAATGGGGAGACACACCCCCAGGACTTCCCCAACTCAGGGTTCCTCTGGTCCCCTGTGCCAGCCTTAGTGGAAAGAAACCATAAACCTGGTTTCGTATAGGTTAGATGCTTGCTCTAGCCATGTGCCTGCAACTATAGCTCCCTATTTTAAATGGCCACACAGTTACAACAGGCACACAGTTACAATGCATGCACCTAAAAGCCTGATGCCCTTTGTACAGGCTATTACTTTCAGAATCATCTAAATGACATAAGAGCGCAACTCCATGTACTCTGTTACCTAGATACTTTTGAAAGTTGCCCCTATAGGTTTTTTAGAAAACAAAATAAGAAAAAACAGCAGTTAAATACAGGAAAAATCTTATTTCTACTTTAAAAATTAACTTTTAAAGAAAAAATCTATATAGTAAAAATGTTTGAGAAAAAGCTCAGGATAACGAATGTCTGGAAATATATAACAGGATATAAATAAATTAAACAAAATATAGATTAAAATATTCTGTCATTCCTTTAAAATGCTATCAGATTTCCTAATGGGGCAGCATCTGAATGCCTAGAAAGGAAAAATTCTTATTGGTAAAAAGTGCCTGTGCCTAGTGGAATTTTGGATTTTATTGTTTGTTTTGCAAAAATTCAGTGTAAGCTAACTATGCCCATCTGAACATCAAGGTTTGTTGCAAAAACAAAATCAAAATGTTCATGAATCCAGAATCAATTTATCTAGATACCGTATTTTGAATTTTAATGTTTAAGTGCCTGTTTAACATGATGGTGAAGATATTAGTAATAGCTGTATGGGCAGTTTTGTTCAGTTGCTGTGGTTATAAGTGAGCTGATAGAAGGAAATGATAAAACTGTTATCAGTAAGTGGCTGGTCTGATGGATTTTAAGGCAACTGAGGAACCATTATAGTATAAGAATATTTGATCGATGTTTGTAAAGAAGCCAGATCTGAGCTATATAATATACCTTTTTTTCTGTTAGAAACAAAACAATCAAGTAGACTTTAGCTTCTGTTTTAGATGCATATTTCCCAGCTGCCCACCAAAAATAACATTGGCATGGAGACCGTAGACTCAGCAATATAATATACCATCATAGACATTAGCATTATCACACTGATATGTAGACAAGCACTCACAAAAAAGTTCAAAAGTGTAGCATGATGTACACAGAGGACAGATAAAGATACCCCATTTGCTGGAGAGCAATACATTGGTTTCATGTATGGAAGCTATATATTTTAAGCATTTAGCCTCTTTAAAAAGTTTCTATTTCAAATAATATGTTCTCAGTGCGAAGATACTTCATAAATGGGTCCAGTATAAGAACCTAGATTGAAATTTTACAGCACCCTCTTCTGAAAACTTTAGACAGACTGCTGTAGTGGCGCTGCTACGGTGCTCATATATTTGCCAAGAAATGCAAAAGTTAAATTAATAAGACTTATAAGTCTGTGATGCCGTCAGAGTCCAGACTGAGAGAGAAAAGAGGATTTAGTAAAGCATTCCTTGAAATGATACTAAAGTATATGTTGCTGTTACAATTACACATAGGCTACGTCTAGACTGGCCACAAATTCTGGAAAAGGGATGCAAATCAGGTAAGTCAGCATAGGGAAATCCGCGGGGGATTTAAATATCCCCTGCGGATTTAAATAAACATGTCCGCCGCTTTTTTTCCGGCTTGGGGAAAAGCCGGAAAAAAGGCGTCGAGACTGGCGCAATCCTCCGGAATAAAGCCCTTTTCCGGAGGATCTCTTATTCCTACTTTCAAGGGCTTTATTCCGGAGGATCGCGCCAGTCTAGATGCTTTTTTTCCGGCTTTTCCCCAAGCCAGAAAAAAAGCGGCGGACATGTTTATTGAAATCCGCGGGGGATATTTAAATCCCCTGCGGATTTCCCTATGCTGACTTACCTGATTTGCATCCCTTTTCTGGAATTTGTGGCCAGTCTAGACGTAGCCATAGCTTTAAGTTTATACTGAATAAATATTTCTGTTATAAAGACTCTTGCCATTGTTTTCCATGCATGTAAATAAGATTATAATGAATCAGTTTAGTTCACATTGTATCCCTTGTATTAACTCACTGTTGAGTAGACTAGCAGTGGATAGTCTATACCAGTGTTTCTCAATCTTTTTTTTATAAAGTACCCCTTTAAAAGAAAAAGTACCCCAAGTACCTACAGTTTTCAGACACACAAATTTTTTCGACCATTGCAACACATTTGATTAAACAGTTTAATTGTAGCCGGGCGAGCGATGACATTTTTGGGTGTACAAAGTACGAAGACAATGAAGCGCTGTAAAACTTAACAAAAAATCAGTTTCTCCAAGTTTCAGTTGTGTTGACATACCCCCCAGACTTCTCTCAAGGGTACTCGTACCACTGGTTGAGAAACACTAGTCTATGCCACTTGCTCAATAAATTGTAGCTTAAGTTAGCTGAACTTATTTTGCTATTTTAAAAAGCTTTTTGTAAATACTCAAGAATCCTATCTAAAGTGAGTGGTGGGGGTTTTGGCCTGGGTCCAAGTTATTTTATTTTTGTACTTCCCTTTGTCCTTATCAACATAGTCCTGTGAATAGAATGCTACTTCTGAGCCCATTTCCTTTTCTGTTGCAAATAAAGGTATATGATCTTGGCTACTTAAATGAAGATGCAGCACTCTGTTTTAGTATCTGTATTTTATTGTGTTAAAATGCAGGAACCGACAATTATATTTCTTACTGATATCTAATTCAACACATTTTATTTGACTATTTTATTTCAATTTAAAAACACATGAGTTCAGAGCTGTTGTGAAACAAACTTCTACGGGAACTAAGGATCATCCCAAATTTTTGACCTTACCTTCTTTAACAAACAGCCTCAAGAGCACTTAAAACAAACAAGCCTCTCAAACCAGACAAAATCAAAACAAAAAAACGGGCAAGCATTACTCTGCACACATAGTTCTGCTCTGGGGAGCAGGATGAGAGAGAGATTAGTCATATCACTGTCAAGTATTCAGATACTATGGTGATATCTACACTGACAGATATAAAAAGTGTGGGCAATTACAGCTCTGCTCAGAGAGCTGCAGGGAAACTACTGTTGTGTGTTCACATGATGCTTCTAGTGTTGGTGGAACTTGTTCACATTAGCAGCTCTTCCAATGCTACAGAGAGCAGTGCATTGTGGGAGCTATCCCACTGTGCAACTGGCTCAGGGTGCTTGGAGAAGGGTTT